GGGGTGTGCTGCCCCCCCCCCCCCCCAGGGAAGTGCCATGCCTCAAAACACAGAGCTGAGAGTGGACATATAGATTCCTCTTTCAGGGAAGGCAGAGAATATTTGGGAAAAGTATTACAGTCTATTGCAGATACAAACAAGCAGTTACAGTAACGGTATGATAAGGCTTTATGATAAATAAATGTAATGATTTTGACTTTATAAAAGAAATTGATACGGAAATATTTATTTTTCCCCTAAATGACCTTTAGGGATTCTGTTGAGAAATAGTTTGAGAACCACTAGTCTGAAACTGAAGATTTTTCCGGAGAGCTCACCGAGAAGGGGGGTGACGGGGGGACTTACCACAGTGGTCCTCACTCTAGCCGTGGTCACATCCACATACTCTGTGCTTATTTGCAAAGAAGCTTGTTATGCTAGTGACCTGCCTGCCACCTTCTGGCATGGCTCTGGGCTTACCTTCAATCCATGTGGATCATACGTAGGCACGTCCCACACCTGCGAGTCTCTCCTGTGCTCCGTCCCTACACACTCGTACGCATATATCCCACCTCACCTCATAGTCACCATGTGTCTTTAGAAGGGTACATTCCTTTTTGCTTTGTCATGAGAGCAGTGGGTGTCTGCAACTTGGGCCATGGCTTCTTTTCATGTAACACCCACGCTGGGCACATATCAGATGCTTCACAAATGTGTCCAAAGGGAGTTTGCCTCAAGAGGAAGCTAGCACCCTGTAGGTTTGCTCTGTCGTGCTTTCCCTGAAGGAGTAGCCAGCGGCAGTATGGGTGACAGTACAAGTTACACAAGAGTGACTCCAGCACATTTAGAACCAGATTTGAAGCACTCTTTCCCTCGGTTTGTCATTGGTATGGGGACTGAATAACTCGTCCTCTCATAAAGAGCCCGTATTCATCTGCACCTGTATGTGTAGCTTTGCAAATGCTAGCAGCCTTTTTTCAAAGGTATGCATTTGTGTTTTCCAAGGGCAGGGACCGTATCTGTTTTTTTCTTTCTTTTTTTAATATTCCCTGTGGCACCTGATAAGAGCTGCACGCACAGTGGGTACTCAGTAAATTTCGCCTATCTCTTCTTCCTTTGAACCTCGACCAGATACGCATATGGTCCTGGCCCATGAGCCTTTACAGAGGACTGATTACGCACAGCCTTGATCTTGAGAATTTTACAGGCAAAAAGGGAATAAACTCTCAGACAATTGAAATCTTGGCTAACAGCCAAGTTGCATAAATAGCCACACACAGTTGAGTCCGAGATGTCTGTACTCTGAAACCCCATCCACATGACAGAAACAGTGTCATGAGACACACTGTTAAGTGCTTAGCCCTGGAGTCAGACATAGCTTCGAATGAGCTTTGTGATCTTTTGCAAGTTATTTAACCTTTTCTGGGTCTCATTTTCTTCATCCATTATGTAGGAGTAATAAAAATGCTGGTAATTTTTCTGATCTTTTGCACCTATAAATAACATCCCACTCTCTGGCTCATGTTCTGAATCTATCAAGACATAAGAGTCAAGAGCTGGCAGAAAGTGACCAGGATATTACTGCTGTTAACTGATAAAGGGTTGACAAGAGGATGTGGTTTATGGAGTTTTAATGGGGAATCCTGGAATTAGGTGGGTGTTTCCACTGAGTCACAGGCTAGTTAGAACAAACCATGTAAACTTAGGTTTTGGACAATGGAAGCAAAAGCTTTCACTCCTCTCTGCTCCTAAAGGGAAGTGCTGAGCCTCAGATTACCATCCAAACTTACCAAAGACATTGTTACTCTTCTTCCCCAGGAAGAGCATGTGAGCAGGATGAGAAGGACTAGGAGTGTTTTACAAGCAGAGCTTCCTCTACATGGGAGGAAATGTAAGGGAAGAAGCCTTCTGTAGTGAAGTGGGATGTCTTCGTAGACCACACAGGACTCCACAGATGTTAAGTTTCATGTTAATTAATTTTATTATGTAAATAGTCACAGTTGAGTTTACCATTCATTAAAGTAAGCCTTCCAGTGCTTCCACAATGTGTTTAGAAATGATCCTGTCCATTTGGAAAAACAAAAAGTCATTTCTTATTGAGTCTTTAATTGAGATGGACTTTTCCTTTCTCTCTCTTTGCTCCCATGAAGCAAAAAGCATTGGCTGTTTCCTAAGGAAGCTGAGTAGGTGTCTGTTGTGGCTACATTCTTAAGGCTTGTTCTGTCTCTCTTTTGCAGTGCAAGTTGGAGTTCCATGCTTGTTCTACAGGCAGAAGCCTCACCACCCTCTGTGATGGTCCCTGTCCATGTCTCCCGGAGCCTGAGCCACCAAAACACAAGGCAGAAAAGAATGGTGAATGGGGATCTTAGGAAACTTTTGGAAGGGAGTATGGGTGGGCAGGGAGGGTTGGCATGGCAAAGTTCTGTCCCAGATGCCAGCTTCTGGCATTTAATGGAGCTGTTCTGGCCCAAGGTGGGGAAAATAGGCAGACTTGGCAAATAAGTCTTGGAGTTTGAATTGCCCTCAGCTACTATTAGAAAGAAAAAGAAGAGCAGAAAGTCTTTGAAAACAATTCTGTTAGACTGAGATATGCTCTAGGTTCTTTTAGAGGTCAAATTGGCTACGGTGTGGGAGGGGTGGGTTTTTCAGCATCTAAGACCAGGGCCTGCCCTGGGGTACATCTTGGACTTTCTTGAACTCTAATCTCTCAAATACTTTGAACTTCCCAAGGCCAAATATCAAAACAGAGACTGCAGAGATGTCACACCAGTGGGGAGTATTCTCCCCAAAGTATTTCTTTATTGATATATTCTGTTGGAATGCAGCACAGAGCCAGGGGACAGATGAAAGAGAATACCTCCCCTGGGGCAGGTGTTTCTCTTCCATGGCTGAGAGAGGCAGGGAAGTTTGGGCTTATTTGGATGTTCTCATGATGGATCCTTTCTCATGAGACCCAAGGTAGAAGTTTAAATTTGCCTTCTGTGGAGTCTGGGCTTTCTCAATTGTAGCTGGCTCTTTTTTTTTTTTTTTTTTTTTTTTTTTTTTTTTTGTTTTTTTCCGTGTCCGGCAACGGATCGCAACCCTCAGTGTTGCCCCCGTACCGGACCAGGGACCGGCAACGGGATCGCAACCCTCGGCGTTGCTCCCGCGCCTCGCTCAGCCAGTGAGCGGGAACCGGTCTGTATGTGGGATCCGAACCCTCGGGTGGGAGCGCCGCCGCGCTTCCCAAGCGGCGCACTATCCAGTGCGCCACCGGGCCGGCCCTGTAGCTGGCTCTTCTATGGAAAATATTGTGTGTCTACATATGTGAGAGTGTGAATGCATGTATACACTTTTGTCTTCTAAAACTAGCAGATATCTGTAATGGAGAAGAATGAACAGGGTTTGTGTATTTATTCATTTGCCACTTTATAAGCCATATTGTCTTTTCCAGAGCAAATAGATGAACATTTCAAGTCTGTTTTTTTTTCATGGTGATTTCAGGAATATTATGTTTAAAGGTTATTGGGAGGTTTAACTTGGGATGTGGAGGACATTGTAAACCAAAAGACACTGTGATCATAAATAATCTCAAGACTATTCTTGATTTCCAAAAAGCTGATTTCATTGCATTTGAGCCTGATTTATTTACATAATTGCAATAAGAAAAGTTAGTTAATGTACATAATTCTCCATGTAGTCAGGTCAGAAAAATTAAAGCCATGTGGTGTTAAGCAACTACATAGTCCAGAAAATTAACTTCTGTCTGGGGATTTCTTAAAAATCTTCTTAGAGGGCTGGCTGGTTAGCTCAGTTGGTTGGAGCGCAGCCTTATAACACTAAGGTCAAGGGTTTGGATCCCCACACCAGCCAGCCACCACCACCAACAACTAAAAGAATCTTCTTAGGAAGTTTCAGTAGCCTTATTATTCTAGGTACATGGTTTATTGCTTTTATTTACTCTTCTATTCAGAGGCTAGGAAACCAAACCAAGAGAGTTATCTTCACTGTTTCGCCTGTAATATCTATACATGGGGGTGAATGCGTCTCTCCTCAAGGGCTCCACATCTGCTCAGGTTTCCTGACTCACCATAATAAGGTAACAGACCAGTTATCTGGGAGGGCTTTGTGGCTCTCCAAGTGAAGAACAACGATATTTTCTTAATGGTGGGCTTCATACCTGAGTAAATGGAATTTAGTCTGAAATATGACACTGCAGGTATGGCCTTGACTGTGCCATCTACTCAATTATTTACTGGTAAAAATTAGAAAAGTTCTTATTGAACCTATACAAGTAATTGCCATTAAAAGGAAACAAACTCAGAAAACGTGTTGTTTCTGAATTCTGAAAGGTCGCTGAGAACAAGATTACCATTTAAAAATGTTTCATTTCAAAAATGTTTGCAAAAGCATAGACTACTAAGTTAGTGATCAGGGATGCATCAGGAAGAAAGAGAAAGGATTTCATCATATCATATAAAAAAAGTGAACATTAAGAAATAATACCAACAATAATCCAAAACAGTCAAAATTATATTTCTTCATTACTTCCTTCAGTCCTATATAATGATTTTTTATTCCTCTGGATCTTGGTTCAATAGTTTGCTTTTATTAAGTCATCTGCCTCTGAACTAAAAAGGGTCCTGAAAATCCTCATTCAGTCACTAATACCATTTGGAAATCATATAATAAATATCACCTTAGAAGCCTGTACCAATGTATCTGTTACTTGACTTACCAGTAGTTCAAATTTGGTACAGTTCTTTCCATGAGGTTCTAAGGTTTTCCTTCTTTGTTAAAGACCCAATGTCTAGGTTGTGACTTAGAGCAGAGTTGGAGAGGAAGCAAAACTACCTGTTGACAGTAATGCTGAATGGTTATAGTTAATTTATTATAGTATTTAACAGTATCCTAATGGCAGAGAGTATAATCCCCTATTAGGGCATAATGTTTAACTATGTAATATGGATTTAATCAGTGTTTCCCTGGAGGATAAGAACATGTTATGAGCAGTGAGGACTTTGATAAATCCTGAGGTCATTATGTGAAATCAAACATTTAAATTAATAATGCTTTACGTGGACAAAATTGATCAAGGAAAGGCAGACCTTTCCTTTGATTTGACAGTTCTTTCCACGTAGCTCTCGCAATAGTTTGTGGCAGGCAGTGAGGGCTGAACTGAGGTTGTGGCAGTTGGCATGAGGAGGAGGGGATGGGTGCAGGGGAGAGACTAAAGTGAAATGGAAGGCAGCCTTCAGATGGCAGCTCAGCAGTGGGGGTGGGGGCAGGCAGGAGGAAGGGTTGAGCACACAGTCCACCTTCCCTTGCCTGTCAGCGGCCCCTTCCAGAAGCCACACGCAGCAGGTGTGGCATCTCCAGGCAGTCTCTGCCTCTGTGAGACATGTTGTTACAGGGGCCACTCAGCTCCTAGCTGAGGTTCCCCAAAATTGATATCAAGCTCACAGTTCTGGCTCTGTGCCCGCTGAAGGTGAAAAAAAGGGTTTAGAAGTCAAATGGTTGGTGTTTAGAAAAGCAGATGTATTCAGCTGAAGGAGATGCTAGGCTATCCCATCTCCCTAGTAAACCTGAAGGAGAATGGCCAAGCTCAAGCCTTCTCAAAGACTCAGGTTTACTGAGGGGCTGAGGGAATGGAATCTGGAAGAATGAAAAGCAGGGGGGAGGGGCACGTGAGCAGCGAGGGCTTCATGCAAGGTCTCAGGTGCAAGGTCTCACCGAGGCTCCATCTGGTTTCTGCTCCCGTCTTTGCTGTTATCTCCGGGACCTTGTAGTACGTGCGAGTCTGCAGCTTCAGTCTGACTGGAAAACAACCTTACATTCATGTGCATAATGCATCTTGTCCCATAACCAAGGTTCAAAATATCAAATAACCATGGGAAAAGAGGGAACTCAGAGAACTTCATGCCAAGGAAAAAACTGTCTTTTTAAAATCTTTTAGAGTCCATGTGGTTTTAGGTCCCAACATGGCTTCAGTCCTGCTCACTCCAACAGCATCATGGCTCTGGACTGTGTCAGGAGCAGTCTTGTTTCTGTGCTTATTGCGGAAATGACATTCCATGGTCTCACAACTGCAGGTGCATTAAAAATGTGGCAATATTTTCATTACTACTGTTGATATTTTATTGTCAACCTTCCATTTTGAACCTCAGTTCCATCTGGTAATGAAAACATTCACAAAGTCACTTCCAGGTAAATTCTGTTAATTCAGGGCTATTTCCAGATTCTGGAAAGTAGGGGTGGGATGGGGGCTCATGAGCTGTGATAATTGTGGGAGGCGGTTCTGGTGTTTTCTGTCCTTCTTTGGCATCTACCCACAAGATGGAGTTCTTACCATCTTCATTTAGTTGGCCAGCTGCGTTTATCCTTACCACGTCCAATGAGAGATGTCTGAGACCCCATCTACGACCTCTGCTCACATGTCCATTAAGGCCATATTGAGTCCTCTTTTCTCTATGCAGACTCTTTTAGACTGACTAGTCTTCTCACAGCCCTTCCTTGGCCCCATTCAGAGGCACAGTAAACTTGGGGATGCCCTTCTATGATTTTCAGGCACCAAGAAAGACTGGTGGAGTTGCTATTGCCAGACTTCTCTCTGTGAATCTGCCTGGCAGCCATTTCCCTTCTATGCAGAGGACATTTTTAATTGACTTTCATATTGGTGGCAAAACACAGGTCCTCTTCACTGCTGGAGTTCTCCACCTGTTTTGCATTTCACAATTGCCTCTTTCCAGCCCAGGACCCAGAATTGGGTCAAAGTTGGGGAGAACTATGGTGAGCAGAACCTTTCTAGGGGACTCCCTTGCCTGTTTTTCCCCTTCCCACAGTTTTACTTCCTGTAGCCCCACTTTGATCAACACTGGATGTGAGTGCAGAGGGTGTGCCAGGGCAGTGTCTCACTTGTTCTCTTTTCATCTCCTGGAGTGATCTGCTCTTCAGCCTTTGGTCCTTTGAGTTATAACATACCCAGCTCTTGCAAATCAGAAATCTCTTGTCTCAGCGTTAAGTTTCAAGAGCATTTTTTGGAAGTCAAAGCCAAGTGGTTGATCTTTTGTTCTCTTTATCTGTCATCTGTCCTTTGATATGTCCCCTGAAGAGTTGATGGAAGGTGGGGTCATCCTTTAATATCTCTGAATACTTCCCATTACACCTCTAAATTACCTCATGACCTTGGACAAGTTACTTAATTGCCATATCTCTCTCATCTCTATAAAGCTGGTCCAGCCTCAAGAGTATAAAGTAATCATTGTCCAAAAAAAAAAAAAAAAAAAAAAAT